GGGTTGGACTGGATGGCCCATGAGGTCTCTTCCAACTCTTTGATTCTATGATTCTATGAAATCAGGCCTGAACTCTTACTAGAAGCCAAAATCACTAAACTCAGGTTGTCCTACTTTGGGCATGTCACAAGATAACGTGGCTTACTGGAAAAGGTGATAAGGTTCGGCAAAGGGGGGCGGGGTGGAAAGGAAGACCACATTACAAGCGGGTTGATTCCATAAAAAAGCCATGGCCCTGAGTTTGAGGGATCTGGGAAGGCCCTCACATTCTTAGAGTTGCCACAACTCAGTCAATTTGACAGCAAATAAGAACAAGAAAGCTCAACCAGCATCTTAAAATGGAACAGAAGCAGTCAGCTAAGATAATGTAACAAGGTGTAGTCTGCACTAATATTATCTACTGAATATTACAGGTGCTTTCTTCACATGTTTTTATACCATTAAGGCAGTGTTTCTCAACCTGGGGGTTGGGACCCCTCGGGGGGTTACAAAGGGGTGTTAGAGGGGTTGCCAAAGACCTTCAGAAAACACAGTATTTTCTGTTAGTCATGGGGGTTCTGTGTGAGAATTTTGGTCCAATTCTATCATTGGTGGGGTTCAGAATGCTCTTTGATTGTAGGTGAACTGTAAATCCCAGCAACTACAACTCCCAAATGTCAAGGTCTATTTCCCCCAAACTCCACCAATGTTCACATTTGGACATACTGAGTATTTGTGCCAAGTTTGGTCCAGATCCATCATTGTTTGAATCCACAGTGCTCTCTTAATGTAGGTGAACTACAACTCCAGAACTCAGGGTCAATGGTCACCAAACCCAGTATTTTCTCTTGGTCATGGGAGTTCTGTGTGCCAAGTTTGGTCCAATTCCATCGTTGGTGGCATTCAGAATGCTTTTTGATATTAGGTATAAATCCCAGCAACTACAACTCCCAAATGACAGAATCAATGCCCCTCCCCAACACCACCAGTATTCAGATTTGAGCTTATCAGGTATTTGTTCCAGTGAATGAAACTACATCCTGCATATCAAATATTTACATTACTATTCATAACAGTAGCAAAATTACAATTATGATGTAGCAACAAAAATAATTTGGGCATGTTATGTATTTGTGCCAGATCCATCATTGTTTGAGTCCACAGTGCTCTCTGGATGTAGGTGAACTACAACTCCAAAACTCAGGTTCAATGTCCACCAAACCCTTCCAGTATTTTCTCTTGGTCATGAGAGTTCTGTGTGTCAAGTTTGGTTCAGAATGCTCTTTGATTGAAGATGAACTATAATTCCCAGCAACTACAACTCCCAAATGACAAAATCAACACCTCGCTCCCCCACTACCAACCCCACCAGTATTCAAATTCGGGCATACGGGGTATTTGTGCCAAATTTGGTCCAGTCAATGAAAATACATCCTGTATATCAGATAGTTACACTACGATTCATAACAGTAGCAAAATGACAGTTATGAAGTAGCAACAAAAATAATTTTATGACTGGGGGGTCACTACCACATGAGGAACTGTATTAAGGAGTCATGGCATTAGTAATGTTGTGAACCACTGATCAAAGGGATGAGATACAGCCACAGAGCAAGTTCCTTTGTATTTGGAGAAGTGGACTAGTGAACTAGAGTATTCTGTGTTTTCATATATGGGACAACAATGTAAAAAATGGAGAGAACTTTCGTTTCTCATCCAAAAGGACTTGTATCTGATTGTTGGGAAAAGCGATTACTTTATTGGTCTCCCCATCCCAGTTTTGTTTTGATATTTCTATTTATTTATTTACTTACTTGCTATGCTTGTATACCACCCCTCTCAGCCCGGAGACGACTCAAGGCAGTTTACATTTGGCAATCAATGCCCCACAAGATAAAATACAATCAAAAACAATTACATATAGTATAAACCATATGAAAATAATAACAATAAACAATTAAAATCATAAAATACAGTTCTCAGCATCTCATCATTAAAATCACTTTCCATCGCATCATCCTGTCGTTCCATGAGTCTCAATTAATCAATTATACTGCGTCTGCAAATGTCTGCTCGTACAGCCAGGTCTTAAATCTCTTTTGAAATGTCAGGAGATAGGGGGCCGAACTAATGTCTCTAGGAAGGGTGTTCCATAGCCAGGGGGCCACCGCAGAGAAGGCCCTGTCTCTCATTCTTGCCAATCAGATTTGCGAAGAAGGCAGGACCGAGAGCAGGGCCTCTCCAGACGATCTTAAACACCTAGATGGTTCATAGGAAGAGATGCGTCCAAACAAGTAAACTGGGCCAGAACCGTTTAGGGCAGTGGTTCTGAACCTGGGGTCCCCAGATGTTTTTGGCCTACAACTCCCAGAAATCCCAACCAGTTTACCAGCTGTCAGGATTTCTGGGATTTGAAGGCCAAAAACATCTGGGGACCTCAGGTTGAGAACCACTGGTTTAGGGCTTTAAAGGCTAATGCCAGCACTTTGAATTGTGCCCGGTAGCAAACTGGCAACCAGTGGAGCTGGCACAACAGAGGAGTTGTGCACTCCCTGAGTGCCACTCCTGTTAGCAACCTGGCTGCTGCCCGTTGGACCAATTGAAGCTTCCAAACAGTCTTCAAAGGCAGCCCCACGTAGAGAGTGTTGCAGTAGTCTATACAGAATGTAACCAGAGCGTGGACCACCGTGGCCAAGTCAGACTTTTTAATGTGGGATTTCCATGGTCCAGACAGAGAAAGTTGATTTTAGCAGCATAATTGCTTAGTTTTCTGTCTGGCAAAGAGGATAAAGCAATGCACAGAACCCTATGTCATGCTTTTTTCCCCATTCTAGATACTGTGCCCTTGTTAGCATTATTCTATGAACAGGCTTGTATAAACCCTTGATTTAGTTATTCAGTATACATACACTGCTTTTGTGCTCTTTAGAATGTATAGATCTCCTTGTTTCCAGCTGGGATCAGCAGCTGAATACCCCCAATATACAGAATTTCTCTCTTTCAACTTTGTTCCTGCTTTTTTCATTCCTCTCGCACGCTTCTTTCAGCTTTATTGAAGTGGGGTTTTTAATGCCTATCTTTTGCCACAGGCATATCTTGGTCTCTCTTGTTCTCATATATCCAGTCGTAATCCTCTGATCTTTGCTTGTCTGTGTGGGTGGAGAGCGGTATTCACATCTATTAAAATGGAGCAACCTTGGGTTTATAGCTGTCGATCACTGTCCGTATACCTTAGCAGTTCTTGGAGCATACTTTTTCATCTGAGTTGGGTGGACAATTTCTCAAGGCATCTGTCAGTGAATCTTTCATTGCCTGACAGCAGACTTCATACCAACATAGAGCTGGAAGGGACCACAAGGGCCATCTATCCAACCCTCTGCAATGTAGGAATGGAAGGCTCCTGAAAGATGCCGATCCAGAGCCTGGCTGATTTTAAAACTGTTTTTAAAAAACTCTAAAAGCAGGACAGTAAATAAAGAGCAACGCTAAAAAAGCAGGGGGTTCCAGACAAGAATCAATCAGGGCCAGCTAACACTGCCGAACAAAGGATTCCCCCAG